GGTGGGGGGGGGGCACCAAATTTGGCTCCCCTGGGGGAAGGGGAGGGGGGGGAGTGCTGTCGGAAAGGTGACCTATGTACATCCCTGAACGTGCCTGCTCTCCGAGCGCTAATTTTCTCTCCCCCCCCCAAAAAAAACCACCTCCCAACCTCCCATCTTTCCCCACCGAGCTGCCCCACGGCCCCCGGCCCCGCCACCGGCTACGAGGTCTGGCACTGGACGTGCTGGCGCGAGCCGTCCTCGAAATCGTCCTCGTGATAGGCCTCCCCCGGGTACGAACGACGGCCAGGCCCCCCCTGGAAGGTGTAGTCGCTGAGTTCCACCTCCTCCGTCTCCTCGGTGGCCATCACCTCCTCCTGGGGGGGGAAGAAGGCCTGGAGCTGGCGAAGGCGGTCGGTGGGGAGCCAGCCGGGCTCCGGGAACTTCACCTGGGGGAGGAGAGAGGACATGGGAGAGAAGGATGGACACTTGGGGACAAAGGGATGGACACCTGGGAACAGAAGGATGGACACTTGGGGACAGAGGGTCCCCAAGGGGGACCTCCTTGGGGAGGGGGGAAGAAGGCCTGGAGTTGGTGAAGGTGGGTGGTGGGGAGCCAACCGGGCTCCGGGAACTTCACCTGGGGGAGGAGAAAGGACATGGGAGAGAAGGATGGACACTTGGGGACGGAGTGTCACCAAGGGGGACCTCATGGGGGGCGGGGAAGAAGGCCTGGAGTTGGTGAAGGTGGGTGGTGGGGAGCCAGAGAACTTCAGCTGGGAGAGGAGAGAGGACATGGGAGAGAAGGATGGACACTTGGGGACAGAGGGATGGACACCTGGGGACAGAGGGATGGACACTTGGGGACAAAGGGATGGACACCTGGGGACAGAGTGTCACCAAGGGTTAGGGGGAAGAAGGCCTGGAGTTGGTGAAGGTGGTCGGTGGGGAGCCAGCTGGGCTCTGAGAACTTCACCTGGGAGAGGAGAGAGGACATGGGAGAGAAGGATGGACACCTGGGGACAAAGGGATGGACACCTGGGGACAGAATGTCACCAAGGGGGACCTCCTGGGGGGGGAAGAAGGCCTGGAGTTGGTGAAGGTGGGTGGTGGGGAGCCAGCCGGGCTCTGAGAACTTCAGCTGGGAGAGGAGAGAGGACATGGGAGAGAAGGATGGACATTTGAGGACAGAGTGTCACCAAGGGGGACCTCTTGGGGGGGGAAGAAGGCCTGGAGTTGGTGAAGGTGGTTGGTGGGGAGCCAGCTGGGCTCTGAGAACTTCAGCTGGGAGAGGAGAGAGGACATGGGAGAGAAGGATGGACATTTGAGGACAGAGTGTCACCAAGGGGGACCTCTTGGGGGGGGAAGAAGGCCTGGAGTTGGTGAAGGTGGTTGGTGGGGAGCCAGCCAGGCTCTGAGAACTTCAGTTGGGAGAGAGGACATGGGAGAGAAGGATGGACACTTGGGGACAGAGGGATGGACACCTGGGGACAGAGTGTCCCCAAGGGGGAACCTCCTTGAGGGGGGAGGAGAAGGCCTGGAGTTGGTGAAGGTGGGCAGTGGGGAGCCAGCTGGGCTCTGAGAACTTCAGCTGGGAGAGGAGAAAGGAGAAAGGACATGGGAGAGAAGGAGGAAAATTGGGGACAGAGGGATGGACACCTGGGGACAGAGTGTCCCCAAGGGGGAACCTCCTTGAGGGGGGAGGAGAAGGCCTGGAGTTGGTGAAGGTGGGCAGTGGGGAGCCAGCTGGGCTCTGAGAACTTCAGCTGGGAGAGGAGAAAGGAGAAAGGACATGGGAGAGAAGGAGGAAAATTGGGGACAGAGGGATGGACACCTGGGGACAGAGTGTCACCAAGGGGTGGGGGGAAGAAGGGCTGGAGTTGGTGAAGGTGGGTGGTGGGGAGCCAACCGGGCCCTGAGAACTTCAGCTGGGAGAGGAAAGAGGACATGGGAGAGAAGGATGGACACCTGGGGACAGAGTGTCACCAAGGGGTGGGGGGAAGAAGGGCTGGAGTTGGTGAAGGTGGTCGGTGAGGAGCCAGCTGGGCTCTGAGAACTTCACCTGGGAGAGGAGAAAGGACATGGGAGAGAAGGATGGACACCTGGGGACAGAGTGTCACCAAGGGGGACCTCCTGGGGGGGGAAGAAGGCCTGGAGTTGGTGAAGACGGTCGGTGGGGAGCCAGCTGGGCTCTGAGAATTTCAGCTGGGAGAGGAGAGAGGACATGGGAGAGAAGGATGGACACTTGGGGACAGAGTGTCACCAAGGGTTGGGGCGAAGAAGGCTTGGAGTTGGTGAAGGTGGTTGGTGGGGAGCCAGCTGGGCTCCGATAACTTCAGCTGGGAGAGGAGAGAGGACATGGGAGAGAAGGATGGACATTTGGGGACAGAGGGATGGACACCTGGGGACAGAGGGATGGACACCTGGGGACAGAGAGGACGGACACCTGGGGACAGAGGGATGGACACCTGAGGACAGAGGGACGGACACACGGGGACAAAGGGATGGACACCTGGGGACAGAGGGACGGACACCTGGGGACAGAGAGGACAGACAGCTGGGGACAAAGGACGGACACATGGGGACAGAGGGACGGACACCTGGGGACAGAGTGTCACCAAGGGGGACCTCCTTGGGAGGGGGGAAAGAAGGCTTGGAGTTGGTGAAGGTGGTCGGTGGGGAGGCAGCTGGGCTCTGAGAACTTCAGCTGGGAGAGGAGAGAGGACATGGGAGAGAAGGATGGACACTTGGGGACAGAGGGATGGACACCTGGGGACAGAGGGGATGGACACGCGGGGACAGAGAGGACGGACACCTGGGGACAGAGGGATGGACACACAAGGACAAAGGGAAGGACACCCGGGGACAGAGAGGACGGACACGCAGGGACAGAGGGATGGACACCTGGGGACAGAGGGATGGACACCTGAGGAGAAAGGGATGGACACCTGGGGACAGAGGGACGGACATGCGGGGACGGACACGCGGGGACAGAGTGATGGACACCTGGGGACAGAGGGGACGGACACCTGGGGACAGAGGGATGGACACACAAGGACAAAGGGATGGACACGTGGGGACAGAGGGATGGACACCTGGGGACAAAGGGATGGACACCTGGGGACAGAGGGATGGACACCTGGGGACAAAGGGATGGACACGTTGGGACAGAGGGGACGGACACCTGGGGACAGAGGGACGGACACCTGGGGACAGAGGGACAGACACCTGGGGACAGAGGGACAGACACACAGGGACAGAGGGGACGGACACGCAGGGACAGAGGGATGGACACCTGGGGACAGAGAGGATGGACACCTGGGGACAGAGGGACAGGGACAGAGGGCCATCAAGTCCTGCCCAGCCCTGGTTCCTCACCTGGAACTGCACGATGAGCTTCCCCTTCTGGAAGGGGCTCCTGTAGACGGGCATCCCCTCGTTGGGGACACACTTGACGTCCCCAGGTCGGATCACGTCACCTGAGAGAGAGAGATGAGCGTCACCTTGTTGTCCCCACCACCCCCTCAGGGTTGGGGGGGGGTCACACAGAGTTCTAACCCCCCCCTTCCCTCCAGCCCCGTCCCACCCCACCCCACCTGGTTGGGAGGAGATGAGGAGGGTCCTGTTGTCCAGGGTGCGGATGACCTGTCGGCAGCCGCACAGGGCGTCTGCCAGGCTGATCTCCCTCTTGACGATGAGGTCGTCGCCGCTGCGTCGGAAAACGGGGTGTTCCTTCTGATCCAGGACGATGATGATGTCCCCGGGCTCCAGGCCGGGAACTTGGTCCCCTTCCTCGTGGAAGGTGATCTTCTGCCCGTCCTTCATGCCTGAGGGGAGCGAGGGGAGAGCTCAGGGTCTCAGGGGCCGTTTTTGGGGTGACCTCGCTCCCCAGGTGGGTCCTTTATTGGTTTTGGGGGTGACCCCACTCCCCAGGTGGGGTCTTTTATTGGTTTTGGGGGTGACCTTGCTCCTCAGGCAGGGCCCTTTATTGGCTTTAGGGTGACCCGTTCCCCAGGTGGGGTCTTTTATTGGTTTTGGGGTGACCCCGCTCTCCAGGTGAGGTCTTTTATTGGTTTTGGGGTGACCCCGCTCCCCAGGTGGGGTCCCTTATTGGTTTTGGGGTGACCCCGCTCTCCAAGTGAGGTCTTTTATTGGTTTTGGGGTGACCCCGCTCCCCAGGTGGGGTCTTTTATTGGTTTTGGGGGTGACCTTGCTCCCCAGGCAGGGTCCTTTATTGGTTTTGGGGTGACCCCGCTCCCCAGGTGGTCTTTTATTGGTTTCGGGAGTGACCTTGCTCCCCAGGTGGTCTTTTATTGGTTTCAGGGTGACCCCTCCCCACGTGGGGTCTTTTATTGGTTTTGGGGAGACCCTACTCCCCATGTGGGGTCCTTTATTGTTTTTGGGGGTGACCCCACTCCCCAGGTGGGTTCCCTTATTGGTTTTGGGGATGACCCCACTCCCCAGGCAGGGTCCTGTATTGGTTTTGGGGTGACCCCGCTCTCCAGGTGGGGTCTTTTATTGGTTTTGGGGTGACTTTACTCCCCAGGTGGGGTCTTTCATTGGTTTTGGGCGTGACCTTACTCCCTAGGCAGGGTGCTTTATTGGTTTTGGGGGTGACCTCACTCCCCAGGTAGGGACTTTTATGGGGTTTGGGGTGACCTCGCTCCCCAGGTGGGGTCCTTTATCAGTTTTGGGGTGACCCCGGTCTCCAGGCAGGGTCTTTTAGTGGTTTTTGGGGTGACCCCGATCCCCAGGCAAGGTCCTTTATTGGTTTTGGAGTGACCCTGCTCCACAGGTGGGGTCCTTTATTGGTTTTGGGGGGACCCTGCTCCCCAGATAGGGTCTTTTATGGGTTTTTGGGGTGACCCCTCTCCCCAGGTGGGGTCCCTTATTGGTTTTGGGGTGACCCTGCTCCCCAGGCGTGGTCCTTTATTGGTTTTGGGGGTGACCTTGCTCCCCAGGTGGGGTCTTTTATTGGTTTTGGGGTGACCCCACTCCCCAGCTGGGGTCTTTTATTGGATTTGGGGGTGACCTTATTCCTCAGGCAGGGCCCTTTATTGGTTTTGGGGTGACCTTGCTCCCCAGGCAGGGTGCTTTATTGGTTTTTGGGGTGACCCCACTAGCCATGTGGGGTCCTTGACGGGTTTTGGGTGACTTTACTCCCCAGGTGGGGTCTTTCATTGGTTTTGGGTGTGACCTTGCTCCCTAGGCAGGGTGCTTTATTGGTTTTGGGGGTGACCTTGCTCCCCAGGTGGGGTCTTTTATTGGTTTTGGGGTGACCCCATTCCCCAGGTGGGATCTATTATTGGTATTGGGGGGGACCTTCCTCCCCAGGTAGGGTCCTTTATTGGTTTTGGGGGTGACTTTGCTCCCCAGGTGGGGTCTTTATTGGTTTTGGGGGTGACCCGCTCCCCAGGCTGGGTCCTTTATCGGTTTTTGGGGTGACCCTGCTCCCCAGGCAGGGTCCTTTATTGGTTTTGGGGTGACCCCAGTCCCCAGGCATGGTCTTTTATTGGTTTTGGGGGTGACCTTGTTCCCTAGGCGGGGTGCTTTATTGATTTTGGGGTGACCCCACTCCCCTGGCAGGGTCCTTTGTTGGTTTTGGGGGTGACCCCGCTCCCCAGGTGGGGTCTTTTATTGGTTTTTGGAGTGACCCCACTACCCAGGTGGGGTCCTTTACTGGTTTTGGGTGACTTTACTCCCCAGGTGGGGTCTTTCATTGGTTTTGGGTGTGACCTTGCTCCCTAGGCAGGGTGCTTTATTGGTTTTGGGGGTGACCTCGCTCCCCAGGTAGGGACTTCTATGGGGTTTGGGGTGACCGCGCTCCCCATGTGGGGTCCTTTATCAGTTTTGGGGTGACCCCGCTCCCCAGGCAGGGTCTTTTATTGGTTTTGGGGTGACCCCATTCCCCAGGTGGCATCTTTTATTGGTTTTGGGGGTGACCCGCTCCCCAGGCTGGGTCCTTTATCGGTTTTTGGGGTGACCCTGCTCCCCAGGCAGGGTCCTTTATTGGTTTTGGGTTGACCCCAGTCCCCAGGCAGGGTCTTTTATGGGTTTTGGGGGTGACCTTGCTCCCCAGGTGGGGTCCATTATTGGTTTTGGGATGGTTTTGGGGTGACCCCATTCCCCAGGTGGCATCTTTTATTGGTTTTGGGGGTGACCTTGCTCCCCAGGTGGGGTCCATTATTGGTTTTGGGAGTGACCCCACTCCCCAGGTGGGGTCCTTTATTGTTTTTGGGGTGACCCCACTCCCCAGGCGGGGTGCTTTATTGGTTTTGGGGGTGACCTTGCTCCCCAGGTGGGGTCTTTTTTTGTTTTTTGGAGTGACCCCGCTCCCCAGGTGGGGTCCTTTATTGGTTTTGGGGTGACCCCAGTCCCCAGGCATGGTCTTTTATTGGTTTTGGGGGTGACCTTGTTCCCTAGGCGGGGTGCTTTATTGATTTTGGGGTGACCCCACTCCCCTGGCAGGGTCCTTTGTTGGTTTTGGGGGTGACCCCGCTCCCCAGGTGGGGTCTTTTATTGGTTTTTGGGGTGACCCTGCTCCCCAGGTGGGGTCTTTTATTGGTTTTGGGGGTGACCCTACTCCCCAGGCAGGGTCTTTTATTAGTTTTGGGGTGAACTTGCTCCCCAGGTGGGGTCCCTTATTGGTTTTGGGGTGACCCCATTCCCCAGGTGGCATCTTTTATTGGTTTTGGGGGTGACCTTGTTCCCCAGGCAGGGTCCTTTATCCGTTTTGGGGTGACCCTGCTCCCCAGGTGGGGTCCTTTATTGGTTTTGGGGTGATCCCGCTTCCCAGGTGGGGTCTTTTATGGGTTTTGGGGGTGACCTTGCTCCCCAGGCGTGGTCTTTTATTGGTTTTGGGGGTGACCTTGTTCCCTAGGCAGGGTGCTTTATTGGTTTTGGGGTGACCCCACTCCCCAGGCAGGGTCCTTTGTTGGTTTTGGGGGTGACCCCGCTCCCCAGGCGGGGTGCTTTATTGGTTTTGGGGGTGACCTTGCTCCCCAGGTGGGGTCTTTTTTTGTTTTTTGGAGTGACCCCGCTCCCCAGGTGGGGTCCTTTATTGGTTTTGGGGGTGACCTTGTTCCCTAGGCGGGGTGCTTTACTGATTTTGGGGTGACCCCACTCCCCAGGCAGGGTCCTTTATTGGTTTTTGGGGTGACCCCGCTCCCCGTCTCACCTTTATCCAGGTGAACGCTGAGGATCTTCTTCTCCCTCACGACCTTGCGGCCGTTGCAGGTGAGACAACAATCCCGAGGCCGGATCCACTCGCCCTGCCCCTGGCACTGGGAACACACCGTCTGGATCTGCTGGATCATACTGGGACCCAACTGGTGGATGCGAACCTCCATCCCCGAGCCGTGGCACTTGGGGCACCTTCTCTGGGCGCCCTCCCGCACCCCACAACCTGTGGGGAGAAGAGGCAGAGGGGTCAGTATTCGGGTTGAGGTGCTGTGGGGGGGATCCCCAGGCACTCCCAGTCCTCCCAGTAAGGACTCACCCCCGCATTTCCTGCAGATGATGTTCTTTTGGAGGGAGAGCTTGCGCGTGGTGCCGTTGTAGAGGTCCTCCAGCGACACCGAGAGCTGATGGACCACCGTTTTCCCTGGATGGAGGAAGGAGAGAACCCGGATCAACGCCCGGATCAGAAGGGGAGAACCCGGATCAGCGCCCGGATCAACGCCCGGATCAACGCCCGGCCCCACGCCAGCCCCCTGAACCATGACCAGATGGGATGGTGGCCACCACCACCGGGCATCACCGCTCCTCCACGGGGAGTGGTGGCTCAAAATTCCCTTCCAGAGACAGCCCTGCTCAATACCCTGCTCCCCAGGTGGGGTCCTTTATTGGTTTTGGGGTGATCCCGCTTCCCAGGTGGGGTCTTTTATGGGTTTTGGGGGTGACCTTGCTCCCCAGGCGTGGTCTTTTATTGGTTTTGGGGGTGACCTTGTTCCCTAGGCAGGGTGCTTTATTGGTTTTGGGGTGACCCCACTCCCCAGGCAGGGTCCTTTGTTGGTTTTGGGGGTGACCCCGCTCCCCAGGCGGGGTGCTTTATTGGTTTTGGGGGTGACCTTGCTCCCCAGGTGGGGTCTTTTTTTGTTTTTTGGAGTGACCCCGCTCCCCAGGTGGGGTCCTTTATTGGTTTTGGGGGTGACCTTGTTCCCTAGGCGGGGTGCTTTACTGATTTTGGGGTGACCCCACTCCCCAGGCAGGGTCCTTTATTGGTTTTTGGGGTGACCCCGCTCCCCGTCTCACCTTTATCCAGGTGAACGCTGAGGATCTTCTTCTCCCTCACGACCTTGCGGCCGTTGCAGGTGAGACAACAATCCCGAGGCCGGATCCACTCGCCCTGCCCCTGGCACTGGGAACACACCGTCTGGATCTGCTGGATCATACTGGGACCCAACTGGTGGATGCGAACCTCCATCCCCGAGCCGTGGCACTTGGGGCACCTTCTCTGGGCGCCCTCCCGCACCCCACAACCTGTGGGGAGAAGAGGCAGAGGGGTCAGTATTCGGGTTGAGGTGCTGTGGGGGGGATCCCCAGGCACTCCCAGTCCTCCCAGTAAGGACTCACCCCCGCATTTCCTGCAGATGATGTTCTTTTGGAGGGAGAGCTTGCGCGTGGTGCCGTTGTAGAGGTCCTCCAGCGACACCGAGAGCTGATGGACCACCGTTTTCCCTGGATGGAGGAAGGAGAGAACCCGGATCAACGCCCGGATCAGAAGGGGAGAACCCGGATCAGCGCCCGGATCAACGCCCGGATCAACGCCCGGCCCCACGCCAGCCCCCTGAACCATGACCAGATGGGATGGTGGCCACCACCACCGGGCATCACCGCTCCTCCACGGGGAGTGGTGGCTCAAAATTCCCTTCCAGAGACAGCCCTGCTCAATCCTTGGGATTGGCAGCAGGAATAGGAACAGCTTTGAGCCCAGCTTGGGGTGAGGGCTCAGAGGAACCTCCAGGAGGGATCTCCAAGCCCAGATCCTGCCAGCGTGGGTCAGGAATGGCTCAAAGCCCAGGGCCCCTGGTTGCCCTCCGGGTGGTTATCGCCCCAACCCGGCCGGAGAGGCTCTACCCGGAGTCAGGGTCTTTTATTGGTTTTGGGGGTGACCCCGTTCCCCAGGTGGGGTCCTCTGTTGGTTTTGGGGTGACCCTGCTCTCCAGATGGGGTCTTTTATGGGTTTTGGGGGTGACTCTACTCCCCAGGTGGGGTCTTTTATTAGTTTTGGGGTGAACTTGCTCCCCAGGTGGGGTCCCTTATTGGTTTTGGGGTGACCCCATTCCCCAGGTGGCATCTTTTATTGGTTTTGGGGGTGACCTTGTTCCCCAGGCAGGGTCCTTTATCCGTTTTGGGGTGACCCTGCTCCCCAGGTGGGGTCCTTTATTGGTTTTGGGGTGATCCCGCTTCCCAGGTGGGGTCTTTTATGGGTTTTGGGGGTGACCTTGCTCCCCAGGCGTGGTCTTTTATTGGTTTTGGGGGTGACCTTGTTCCCTAGGCAGGGTGCTTTATTGGTTTTGGGGTGACCCCACTCCCCAGGCAGGGTCCTTTGTTGGTTTTGGGGGTGACCCCGCTCCCCAGGCGGGGTGCTTTATTGGTTTTGGGGGTGACCTTGCTCCCCAGGTGGGGTCTTTTTTTGTTTTTTGGAGTGACCCCGCTCCCCAGGTGGGGTCCTTTATTGGTTTTGGGGGTGACCTTGTTCCCTAGGCGGGGTGCTTTACTGATTTTGGGGTGACCCCACTCCCCAGGCAGGGTCCTTTATTGGTTTTTGGGGTGACCCCGCTCCCCGTCTCACCTTTATCCAGGTGAACGCTGAGGATCTTCTTCTCCCTCACGACCTTGCGGCCGTTGCAGGTGAGACAACAATCCCGAGGCCGGATCCACTCGCCCTGCCCCTGGCACTGGGAACACACCGTCTGGATCTGCTGGATCATACTGGGACCCAACTGGTGGATGCGAACCTCCATCCCCGAGCCGTGGCACTTGGGGCACCTTCTCTGGGCGCCCTCCCGCACCCCACAACCTGTGGGGAGAAGAGGCAGAGGGGTCAGTATTCGGGTTGAGGTGCTGTGGGGGGGATCCCCAGGCACTCCCAGTCCTCCCAGTAAGGACTCACCCCCGCATTTCCTGCAGATGATGTTCTTTTGGAGGGAGAGCTTGCGCGTGGTGCCGTTGTAGAGGTCCTCCAGCGACACCGAGAGCTGATGGACCACCGTTTTCCCTGGATGGAGGAAGGAGAGAACCCGGATCAACGCCCGGATCAGAAGGGGAGAACCCGGATCAGCGCCCGGATCAACACCCGGATCAACGCCCGGCCCCACGCCAGCCCCCTGAACCATGACCAGATGGGATGGTGGCCACCACCACCGGGCATCACCGCTCCTCCACGGGGAGTGGTGGCTCAAAATTCCCTTCCAGAGACAGCCCTGCTCAATCCTTGGGATTGGCAGCAGGAATAGGAACAGCTTTGAGCCCAGCTTGGGGTGAGGGCTCAGAGGAACCTCCAGGAGGGATCTCCAAGCCCAGATCCTGCCAGCGTGGGTCAGGAATGGCTCAAAGCCCAGGGCCCCTGGTTGCCCTCCGGGTGGTTATCGCCCCAACCCGGCCGGAGAGGCTCTACCCGGAGTCGCCGAGACGCTTCCCTCGGCCTCTTAATTACCCTGCTATTAAATCGTGCCACTTCAGCAAGAAACGAGGTGGCGAGTCACCTCCTCCCCCGTGACCCAGGCCAAAAAACATCCGCGGAGTCACCGGAGCCAGCCCTGCACGCCCTGCGTCGTCTCGCAGCAGCCTCCCCCCCCGGGAGGCTCCCGGGGAGCCCTGGGCAGAATTGGGGTGACTCAACCCCAGCCCCGGGGACGGCGGGGGAAAGCTGGGACAGGGCCGGGCTCTTTGAAGAAGGGGGCAGATGGAGAAAGTAATGAGGCTTGACGAGGAACGGCGTCGGGCCGCGCACCGCCGGGGGAAGGAGGTGGCCCACGGGGCCACCAACCCAATTTCGGTGACCCCCCCGGCGCCGTGTCGGGGTGTCAGTCCCCCCCAACCTCCTCCCAGCACCCCACCAGGTGATGGTGATGATGATGATGGTGGGTCTTTCTTCCCCTGGGTACCTCGTCTGTCTGCCCGGCCCCGCATCCGCACGCCCCCGCCGAAAAAGAGGTCGAAGATGTCCATGGGGGAGCCGAATCCGCCGCCCCCCCCGCGGTTGCCCAGGCCCCCCTCCTTCATGGCCCGCTCCCCGCCGCGGTCGTAGAGGGCCCGTTTGTGGGAATCCGACAGCACCTCGTAGGCTTGGGAGATCTGCTTGAACTGGGGGGGAAAAAAAGGAAGAGGGGAAAAGGGGAGTGAGATAAGGGGGGTTTGAGCCTGGTGGGGGTCCCGGGGGGGTGGTTTGGGGGTGCTGTGGGTACCCGCTCGCCCTCGCTGGGGTTCTTGTCGGGGTGGTAGCGCAGCGCCAGGCGGCGGTAGGCCCGCTTGATCTCGTCCAGGCTGGCTCCCGGCCGCACGCCCAGCAGGTCGTAGTACCCCGTCTCCTTCACCATCTTCTTCCTCACGTGCTGGAGGGAGGACAGACCCCTCAGCACCGGCCCGGGACCCCTTCCCAGCTCACAACACCCCTCCCCAGCCCAGGACACTCCTTCCCCACTCCATGACACCCCTTCCCAGGCCAGGACACCCCTCCCCACCCCAGGACACCCTTCCCCAGGCTGTGACACCCC